TGCGGCCGGCCCAGGTCTGAGTGCCACGGCCTGCAGCTCTGGGGTCCCTTGCTGGTTTTCTAGCAGCTGCACGCGACGGACTCTGCTCCCATGACCTCCCCGTTGTCCCCGGCCGTTCCCAGACCCTCCCTCCACCCTCCCAGGCTGGACACGAGGAGGGAAAGGCCACCGCGGCCGGCTCCATCTGCCCTGTTTCGCGCTGGAAAGCGCGCCACGTGGCCTGGGTCCTCCCTGAGGGCCCACTCCTGCCGCCCCGTCGCCATGAGCACGGGCCTCCCCAAGCAGCGACCCTGGGCTGGAATTTCGAGCACGCGTGCCGGTGAGCACATCCGTTTGCTGGTAAGCTGCACACCAGAAACATATTACATTATAATAAAAAATTTAGGGTAAGAAGGAAATAGAAACCACTTGAATACAGTTTTGAATTCATCCGCCGACATTTCTGGCTCTTGCTAAAATGGGGCAGAAATAAGGGTCTCCGTGAGTGCCGGGCCTGGAAATGCCTCGCTGTTTCGAGCCCTGGTTTAACGCTTTGCAGCAAAGCCATCAGAAACAACACGTGGGGTCAGCAGACGCAGGCACCTGGGTTAAGGACCGGACGCTGGAAACGTGACTCCTCAACACGGTGCCTCCCAAAGAAAAAACAGAAAAAACAGAGCTGCTAAGGTGTGAGGGGAACAAGAATGTCCCCTGTGCGTTATTGGAGCATCAGAAGAGGAGGCGAGAGAGACGGGGCGTGACGTGTCTGGAAAGACGATGGGTGGGGCGTAAGGAACCTGGAGAACCGAGTCCAAGAGGCTCCGCGGACTCGAAGGAGGGAATTACAGCAGGAAACACTTCGAGAAGCATTGCGGCCGACTGCCAGAAGCCACACACACAGAGGGAGAAAGACATGGCGCCTGCAGGGGAAGGACGGGGACGCACGGCTGACTTTCATCGGGAACGGGAGGCCCAACAGCGTCTCCCCAGGGACAGCAGCGTCCGCCTGGATGTCCACATCCAGCGAAAGTGCTCCTTGAAGACACCTCAGGGAGACCGAGGCTCATGCCTCGGTCTCCAGGCTAGCACGGTGAGAAATGCTAAGAGACGTTCGTTAGCTTGATGGGACGTCACACCAGGCAGAAATGAAAAACACCCAAGGAGTATGTGTGTCCAATACAAAATACCTTTATAAACTAGGGAACAAAACACACACACACACACAAAACCCCAGCATCATCTTCTGGAGGGCAGGCTTCCCCCACCCCGTGAGTGTTCTAGGAACCCACTGGCATCCATGGACCAGCTAGCATTGTTGTGAGAGGCTGTGTTCAGCTTCGGGGAATTTTCTTTGCAGATTCTTTCAGGGCGTTTGCCCATTTCGTGATGGGTGATTTACGAGCGCACCTGCCCACACCGCTCTGAGTGTTCAGCCGTTTGCGACCCGAAGGAGCGCGACCCGCCTGCTCCACTCTCCCTCTTCACTCCACCTGGCTCGGAGTGTCTTTTTCTGTTTCCCCAGATGAAAAAATCCTCAAAGGGAAACATTCTGCAGATGTGGAAGAGGTGAAACAAAAAATGGACGAAGCATTAAAAGGCATCAAAATGGATGAGTCAAAAACCGGTTTGCATCAAACAGAGAGTACTTTGAGCAGAGAGTCACTTTGAAGGTGACTGATGTTTAAACATGGGAGAATACACATTTTAAAAAAATAAACTTGGGGGGGCACACCTTATCAACAAGGGCGCCTGCACAAGACATATTTATACACCTAACCCTTAACTGTACCCCACAATTTTAAAATAAAAAATGTTTAAAAAATAGATAAAAAATAAAATAAACTTGGGTCCCCCTCATGTACAGACACGTATGTGTGATGTGTGTGTGTTTCTCGATTTCTCTGAATTCATATTTCTCCCCAAACCTACATGTGTGTCAAAAAACTATGATTCCTTAAAGTTTCAATAATAAAAAAATTACTATTTACAAAGTCTGTAGAAGTAAAATAGAGACAAAATTGCAAAGGGGGAAGGGTTTGAATCATGTTATTGAATCATGTTATTGAAAGATTTCTTACACTATTCATGAAGGAGTACATTTTTTTTTATTTTCCAGAGGCAAGATTTCTCTCTGCCGCTCAGGCGGAAGGGCACTGGCACGCTCACAGCTCACCGCAACCTCAAACTCGAGCTCAGGCGGTCCTCCCGCCTCAGTCTCCCCGGTAGCTGGCGCTGCAGGCACGTGCCACTGAGCCCAGCAGATTTTTTTTTTTTTTTTTTTAAGAGAGAGGAGGTTGCCAAAGATGCACATTTTGATCTCTGGAGCAACCACTAAAATACAATGTGCAAAAATCAGCAGAGGAATTGCAGTTGCATCCCAAGATGCCACGTAGCTCACATCAGCGGGGAGAAAGCTACGGAGGAGGGGAGGACCAGGGTGGGAGTGAGCATGGCAGGGTGGAGAGGGTGGGGGAGGGGCACACATGAGAGGCCGGGGAAGAGGCAGCGCAGGAGAGAGCAAGAGCCCCAGCCACGGAGTTCAGGGGCTTCCAGGGCTCATGGAGGAGAGACTCACAGATGCCACGCCTGTGCTGGGCCACGTCTGCCACCCGTCGCGAATGCGTATCTCTCACACCCACTCGAGTTGCAGCCCGGGCCGGGCCCCTGCCCCCCCC